CACTCAGTTTCTAGCCTGGTCCTCTCAGTTTAGAGTCAGCCACTCTGGCCCCAGCTTTTAAGTCCCAACTTCATTATTAATTTCGACAACAAAAGGAATATAGGCAGTTGCCTCCAACAGACCCTTTCCTTCCCTGCCCAGGGTGACATACAAACAGTTTGCTCAGGGCTAAAGGAAAAGAAAAGCTATCATTTTAACACATCATCCCTCGCTGTGTCATGGTTTCTCCACTGGCTGCGGTGGGTTGCTGGTGCCAGCAGTTCCTCCCCAGCTTGCAGCATCTAGGGCGTTGCAGCTTTTGCTGCAACCTTCGCAGTAGTCTCTTCCCCAAACATACAGCTCTCTCCCAGGGAACGCCAGCTTGTCACCACGAGAGACTCCTCCTCTTGGGTTTCAGCTCTCAGCTGCCAGAGCTCCTTAAGCCTGGAACATGCAAAGCCTCTCTGGGCTCAGCACAGCTGCCCAGGGCTTACTGTCCAAGCCTGTCAGTTCTCTCCCCTCTGCAAACATGAACAGCCGGCTAATCACCTGTCTCCTCTCCCTCTTAATGAGTGCCTCGCTTCTTAATTAGCCTCTGCTCTTGGTGCTGGTCTCAGTGTCTTCTTAAAGGGGCAGTAACTCAGGTCCTCTGGCAGGGACCTATCTCTAGCTCTGCCCCCGTCCCTCTTTCTCATTATCATTTCCTGTCTCAGTCTGTTAACAGGGTTAGGGTTCCCTGTTACACCTTCATTTCTAATTCTCTTTCTATACAGTGGTCAAAACAGGTTACTTGTTACGTTCCACCAATATCTTGGTAATCTTGAGCTGTCCTGTGCCCTGGACTTGCTCCACATCCCGCTCTGGGGGTTCCCATTCCAGCCTTATCATCTTGGTAATGGACGGTTCTCCACCTTTACAGTCATCTCCCCCCTCCCACTCTCTGGCACATATGCCAACTTTTGCACAGAGTTCAGGCATTGCTCAGGTTTTCTAATCGGGCCTACTCTGGTCAATGGTTTAGCAAAGCTTTTGTGTGGGCATTATCTATATATTAATCAATGTTCCAGCAAGACACAAAGCCTGCGGATGCTTTTCTCTTCCCAACTGGTGCAGAGACCCTGAGTGCAGCTGAGGAGCAGCCTCCGGGGAAAGGTCCTGTCACCCTGGAGCTCCTGAGGCCATCCTCAGGAAGATCTGGGGAGAGGGGACCCCTGACACCTGAGCCAGGCCAAGTGCATAAGAAGCAGGGCAAGTGCCCACAGCCAAGGGAGAACACGGCTGTGAGCAAGGTCCATGCTGCAGTGGGGTGTGAGTGTGGAGTCAAGGCAAAGCCCAGCAAGAGCTGAGGATGTGGGGAAGAGCCACAAGGAGAAGCTTCAGGGCTACATCTACACTGAGCCGGCAGGGAAGGCCTCAGGGGAAGTACTGGTCTTAGCACCTGTGGGTCCAGTGCTCCCTGCCTCTGGAAGCACTGCCTCAGCTTCCTCTAAGGGGTCCTTCAAAAGAGCATTTTATGACTGAGAGTCTCGGGAGAGAGTCTCACTGGGTACTCCGTGGCACCCAGCTAGCGCTAGGGAGTTTGGGATGAAGATCTACTCAGCTGAGCCCCCCAGGCTCCCCCTGAGAAGCAGGGAGGGGCTCTGCACTTCAGTCCAGCAGGGTCCCTCTCGCCCTACCAGTGCCAGGGCAGGTTCATAAGCTGGCAGTTTGCTAGGAGTGAGCAGCGTTCCTGACTCCTGGAGGAGAGTTCAGGATCCACCTGCCAGAAATGGAAATGATTCCCAGTCTCTTTGCACCAGTGTATGGCTGGAATAAAGGACAAATTCCCAGAGTTGCCTATATCTGCACCTCTTCCAAGTCTGCAGGTGTGACGTGTGCCCAAGGAAACCAGACACTTTGTGATTTGGGGAGCTGTAATATTGTCGTCTCTGTAGCCCCCACTTTCTCCTGCTTCCAGACTGAGTCTGCACACAGTCCCGCCTGCTCTATCCCACCCCCATAATCGGGGATCCTCCCTTGCTCTTTGTTTCCACTCCACAGATGGAAACAACGGAGATGGCTGCAGCAGCCTGAGATCATGTAGGACATGGACAGGGAGGTGCCCTGTGTTGTGGTAGCAGTAGACCTCCTGGGATTTAGGGCCTGCAGAGCTCCCCACTCCAGAGCCTCATGGGGGGAAAGAAGAAAACTTCTGACACCACCAACACACATTGTTTCCTGGGCGGTGTCTGGTGGAAAAGGGTGAATCCTCAGGGTTCCCCTTCCAGGCAGGGTATGCTCCCTGTGAGTCACTGCCGTGAAAACAGCTTCCCCAGAGGAGACTCGGGGCCTTTGGCCTGCAGACTCTGCTGGTGTTGTTACGATGGCAGTGCCTTCCTTATAGGCACAGCGGATACTAACAGGCAGTAGCTGCGCCGACCCTCTGGATGACGTGAGCTAAAGCAGACAAACGTGTTGCTCTGTTTGCAGAGCTGTATCCACACCAGGCTCTTTGCTGGAGCAGCTGGCAGCTGGAAAGTAAGACTCCCAGGGATCTTTGAGGATGTGGCCGTGTATTTCGCATGCAAAGAGTGGGAGTTGTTTGAAGCTGGAGACAAGGGGCTTTACCAGGACCAGATGCTGAAGAATTACTAAGCCCACGTTTTCCCGGGTAACGTGCCGGTTCTTGTCCCACCCCCCGAGAACTGTGTGAGATCAGAAATGTCCCACTCTTCTCCCTGTTCGTTTACAGTTATGTCCTCAAGCATTTTACCTACTGGTTCAAATCCACTTTCACCCCACTGCTTTGTCATCGCTCAGGTCTCTTGTCTACTTCATGTTTTCATATCCTCCTCCATTTGTTTCAGACAACTTTTCTGGGGTCTTCCCCTTGGTCTAATGTAGAGTGGGCAAAATACGGCTCGTGGGCTGGACTAGGGACTCCTGGTCATCACTTCGTCTGGCCCTATTGCCACTTGTCCATTGCCACAGGACTTTGTAGAGGTTATGGGTATTGGTGGTTGGATCCAGTGGGAGAAGCCTGTGCATACTTGTTTTATGTGAGGAGGCTGGTGCACTTCAGCAACCACACTGGTCTTGGCAGAGAAGAAACCTGTGGCAAGGACATCCAAGATGACTGGGATTACTCTTCCACTGCAGCCTTTATCCACCTTCACAGCCATTGCAAAGTATGTCTTCTTCATCTGCCTGCTCAACCATTGAGGTCTTCATGTTATGTTGCACTGCTTTTCATCTGATACCTTACCTTTGACCTTACCACCATAGGTGACCCTATCAGGAGTACAAAACTCCCGATGGTGTTGCTCTTAGGGTCACCAGTACACGCAAGCCTCTCCACCCTGTCAAGGTGGCAGTCCATGGAGAGTTATTGTCATCAGTATGTCAATGACTCTTCTACCTTCTAAGACTCATCACTGCAAACCTTTATTAAGAATAAATCCATTTGTTTCTTTTTTGCCTGGACTTACCATAACAAGATCAGTTGTATGGATGGCCATGAGTGTGTTCATGGTCTCTCTCCAAAACACTATCTTGAAAATCTGTAAAAGCGTTGTCTTCCTCCTTGCACATCACAGATCACTGCATCTCTGCCCACCTTCCCTAGTGCCACTATGAGCTTTTCACCCTATATACACTTCTGAGGGGTTGATGCTTTATACTTTATATGACCATTGTTCCACCTGGGTGACAGAGGCTATGACCTATTGCGGGTTTCTGCCTGTCGTGGCTTCTCTTTTATCTTAAATGTCTTCCTTTCCTTTTTCTTTGAGTCTCCATTAAATGTTTGAGTCTGCTGGATCCTTTCTCCAAATCCCAGTTCTCTATACGCTCCCTAGAACAGGATACAGAGCCCCAACACTAGTCTAAATGTCTTCCTTTCTAAGTGTCCTCCTTTCAGTCCTCAGTAGAATATTTGAGCCCATTCGATCCTTTCTCCAAGTCTCAACTGGGTACTGGATGGTGAAAAAATCACCCTCTGTACACTTCCCAACACAGGATATCAAGGCCCCACACCAGACTTAAATTGCCACATCCAGTGAAGGGAGATGGAGCTCTGGGTCTGTGATGGTGATGAAGCTGGAGAAAGCTCACTGTCTGAGGACTTATCCACAGGTGAGTCTTGAAAATCCTTCCCCCCTTCCACCCACACCTCAGCTCAGAACCTCCCAATACCCAGAGGGAGCTGGAAACCTGAAAACTTGCCTTGAGCTGTGGCCACCTAGTCCTGACATCACACTACTTAACCAGATCTGTGTTGTCCAGGCAGGTGCAAGTACCCACTCCTTGCATTTCAGTGATGAAGGAACAGACAACAGACCCCTTGTTCTTCTCCTACTTAGGGATGGTTGGGGGGATACAAGCACCTCTTTGTTTCTACCAGAACTGCCCATGTTCTGCTCCATAATTGGGGCACATGGGATACAAGCTATGAGACCAGAGACACAGAGTTGATTGGCAGTTGGACACCTTTTTCTCACAGAGGAATGAAAGCCCATCCAGGGTCTGGGGCACGTCCCAGCATGGGGGAATAGCGGATCTTTCCCTTTGCCATCTAGACAGGGACTAACTTTTGGGCTCCTCTCTCCACCCAGCAGATGCTGAGATACTGGACAGAGCTGAGCAGCAGCAGCCTCCCGAGGCAGGGCTTGCCAACCTGCAGCTGTTTCAGGCCGGAAACCAGCTCCACACCCAACAGGGACAGAGAACAGCAGGGGCCCAAAGGAGCAGGGAAGGATTTGAAGGGCAGAGAGACCCGAAGAGCCACAAGTACATGGTTCAAGGTGGGCAGGGGCTGCATATATGTGGAGAGCCCAGTGAGAGCTTTGGGGACAAACAGGGACTCGGAGACCCCTGGAGGGAGGATGCCCACCCCTGTGCTGAGCACGAGGACATCTTCCACCATACATGCCCTCTCCTTGGGCACCCGCGAATGCACTCAGGGGAGCACCCCCACCTCTGCCTGGAGTGTGGGAAGAGCTTTGTCTCCCTGAGCGACTTCCGAGTGCACCAGGGCGTGCATGCAGGGGAGCTGCCATACCGCTGTGCTGAGTGCAAGAAGAGTTTTACTGGATGGGATCACCTCCAAAGCCACATGTGTGTCCACACAGGGGAGAAGCCATTCTCCTGCCTGCAGTGTGGAAAAAGCTTCACTGATCGCTCAACACTCACCCAACACCAGCGCTTGCACACGGGGGAGAAGCTCTTTTCCTGCAGCCAGTGTGGGAAAAGCTTCATGCAGAGCTCCCATCTCATCAGTCACCTACTTGTTCACACGGGGGAGAAGCCATTCTCCTGCAGCCAGTGTGGGAAGAGCTTCATGCAGAGCTCTTCGCTCACCAAACACCTGCGCATGCACACGGGGGAGAAGCCGTTCTCCTGCAGTCAGTGTGGGAAGAGCTTCACACAGAGCTCCCATCTCACCAATCACTTGCTTGTGCACACAGGGGAGAAGCCCTTCTCCTGCAGCCAGTGCGGGAAGAGCTTCACCCAGAGCTCCACACTTGCGCAGCACCTACGCGTGCACACGGGGGAGAAGCCGTTCTCCTGCCTGCAGTGCGGGAAGAGCTTCACTGATCACTCGACACTCACCAAGCACCGGCGTGTGCACACGGGTGAGAAGCCATTCTCCTGCAGCCAGTGCGGGAAGAGCTTTACGCAAAGCTCCCATCTCACCAAGCACCAGCGTGTGCACACGGGGGAGAAGCCATTCTCCTGCAGCCAGTGCGGGAAGAGCTTCACACAGAGCTCCACGCTCACACAACACCTGCGCATGCACACAGGGGAGAAGCCCTTCTCCTGCCCGCAGTGTGGGAAGAGCTTCACCGATCACTCGACGCTCACGCAGCACCGGCGCGTGCACACAGGGGAAAAGCCATTTTCCTGCAGCCAGTGTGGGAAGAGCTTCACACAGAACTCCCATCTCACCATGCATCTTCGCATGCACACTGGGGAGAAGCCATTTTCCTGCAGCCAGTGTGGGAAGAGCTTCACACAGAACTCCCATCTCACCATGCATCTTCGCATGCACACTGGGGAGAAGCCATTTTCCTGCAGCCAGTGTGGGAAGAGCTTTGCACGGAGCTCCACACTCACCAGTCACCTGCATGTGCACACGGGTGAGAAGCCCTTCTCTTGCAGCCAGTGCGGGAAGAGTTTCACACAGAGCTCCAAACTCACCAGTCACCTACGTGTGCACACAGGGAAGAAGCGGTTCTCTTGCACCCAGTGTGAAAAGAGCTTCAGTGACAGCTCAGCACTTACAAGTCATCTGCATGTGCACACGGGGAAGAAGCCATTTTCTTGCAGCTAACATGGGAGGGCTTCCTGCAGAGCTTCAAATGCACCAATCGCCTATGTGAGCACACGGGTGAGAAACCTTTATCCTGCAGCCAGTGTAGGAAGAGCAAGTCGTCACTCACTGAGCACCAGCCCAGGTACTCCGGGAAGAAGTCATACTGCTCTGCCCAGAATTGTTTACAGCAGAGCTCCGACCTGAGCAATCACCAGCAAACCCATGGGAGCAGGATCATCGCATTGAACAGGGGGCTTTCCCTCATCCCCCTCGGCAGTGGGAGTTAGCATCCTGCCACTGGACTGTAACACCTCGGCTCCCTCTTGCTTCTATGTGGAGTTGTCCCACATGGGATGTTGTAGCTTCTGGCAGAAGCTGGGACAGAGAAGATAACAGATAAGAGCTAAGTTATGGAGCCAGGTAGCAGAAAGGATAAAAGCTGGGGGAAACAAAACCAAAGTTGCTCTGAAAAAAAGGCATCCTTTCTTGAACCATCCAATCCTAGACAATTACCTGTGGGAGCAAGGTGAACCCTTCCTTTTCTTTGCTGTGGCTTTTGGGACATCACCATTGTCATCTGTTTTTTACCATCCTTGATGATCGTGTTACGTTCTACGTCAATTGGACAGGTCCCTCGCTCCCGTGAAAGAACCAGTTTGAATGAGTAAAGGGAATATCCATGAATCAGTTCTCAACTGTTTTGTCCTATGGGACTCCCTGGCCTCCTCTGTGCTTCACTACTTTGCTTGTTGCAGGCCAGGACAGGAGTGCCAACAGGACTGCCAACCAGGGCAGTGCAGCGAGACAGGCCACATCCCCATTCCCAGCCACCACGTGCTGGTAGCTGGAGCAGCGCAGACAGAGCCCTGGGGTCAGGACAGCCAGGCCTTGCAGAGTCCAGGCCAACAGAGGAGGCAGATTCAGCAGCCATGTCTCTGGGGGTCCTTTAGGTCCCAGCTGCATCTGTCCCTTTCCCAAGCCAGTTCCTCACACTGATATCCCTGGATCCCCCACCCTTGGTGCACCTGTCCATGCAGACATCCCCAGTCTTTGGGGCTCTTGGTGTTCCCCAAGGGATCCTTCCAGAGGGGAACAGTTCTAGCTGCACTCCTGCCAGCTGTGTCTCCACCACAGGGACAACCCCATCTGCTAATGCACCTTCCAGCCTCCCACTGCCCAAGTTAAATAAGGTAACCTGTTCCTTTCTATTGTGGAGCAGCCAGCGCACACACAGGGCCTCCCTGACCTTCAATCTCATGGCACAGAGCAATGGGGCTCAGGGCAGGTGCTGCTTTTTTCACAGGCTGAACATGTCAGAGAGGTGGCAGAGTTTGTGTCCTGGTTTGGGTCAGAGAGGAGTCCCGAGTCTGCCACCTGTGTTGGGGTTTGTGCTTAGGCATTGGAGCACCTTCCAACAACATTTTTTTGCCTTTCCTTGCTTTCTCCCAACTACATCAAGCTGGCTCTTCTTACTGGTCTGGATCCAGGATAGCTTTCCATCCAGGCCAGGGTATGGCCCTGTCTTCTCCCACCAGATACTCCCACCTAGTATCTGCCCACAGCCTCCTTGTCTCAGGCGGGGACGCAGCGACAATACTTTGCTGACCTGGTCCCACTCACCCCTCATTTAAAAGGAGCACAAGCCTGTGGGGGAAAAGGGGGACTGAAGGGTCTCAAGGGATATCAGAAATGGCTAGATCATCTGGATCTTTAAGGTGATGCCAATTCTTCCAGCAAGGCTGTGGGAAAGGTTGAGACCAAATCAGCGGCACCAGGTAGAAAGCCTGAAGCACACTGCTGTTAATGTAGCTCAGAAGTAACTAAAGCTGACTTTCACCTCTAAAATCTTCTAATTTTACAATGAACTCACCTCTCAATTGTTTTTTAACCACCCTAGTGTCATAAGGACACGGACTGCCATTGTTGCCTTGGTTTGCCTGTGGTAGGTTAGTGTGGTTTTGCTCTTTGCACCAGGTGCCTTGGAGTTGTGTGGCAGGGTTGACTGTGTAGCTTTAAGGATAGGTTAGGCAGGGACTTGTCTGGGATGGTTTGAATAAGGACAACTGTCTCTCAAGCAGGAGGTTGGACTAGATCAAGGGTGGGCAATTATTCTGGGTGGAGGGCCGTTTACTGAGTTTTGGCAAGCCATCGAGGGCTGCATGCCAGGCAGGCAGGGGTAGATAAATATTAATTTTCTGAATTTTTTAGGGGCCCCGCGGGCTGGATAGAATGGCCTGGTGGGCCACATCCGGTCTGCGGGCTGCATTTTGCCCACCCCTGGACTAGATGAACTGTGGAAGTCCCTTCCAACCCTACTTTTCCTTTCCTGTGATCTGCTAATGAGTATGGTGTAGTTGTAATTTTCCCCACAGAAATGCTAGCAAAGGCTCGGTGTGTCCTGACAATACCTGGCTATGCCGGGATCTATTCCCACTACACTTGTGGAAGCTGTTGAGGTGGAGACAACAGGATGAGAGTGCAGGTGAACTTTCCCTCAATTAACCAGGCCATAGCATGGACAAGGTGGGGCCAGGGGCCAGGAAACTCTTCTTTTGGGATATACGTTCTGCTGGAAAGTGAGCATCTGTCAAGCAAACTGGCATGGACTGGTCCCTTCCATTCTTCCACAACACAGAAGATTCATCATAACCTGGCAGGAGATGAGGTGAGGCTGGCCCGCTTCAGGACAGTGGCTTACATCAGCCATAATCTCCATACAACTCTATAACCATATAACTAGGGCCTGGTTTAAATCATGAGCCCAGTGTGCGAGACAGTGGTTCTTTTAATCTTGGGGTTCCCCCTGAACGCCTCCCGCTGTTGATTGTCAGAGGGGCCGCACGGCCCCACCACTTGGTCCTGATGGCCTGGAGGCAAAAACCGTGGTTTTAAATATGCCACAGGTTTTGCCTCCTGCCGCTTGCTGCTGACCAGATAGGAGGCAAAACCTGTGGCATATTTAAAACCGAGGTTTTCATCTCCTGGCCACCAAGAGCAAGCAGTGAGCAACGAGGCCATGAGACCCCTCTAATCAGCAGCAAGGGGGCTGGGAGGCACATGGCGGGGACTCGTCCCCCCATCCCGTCCCTTCTGATGCTCACGATGCAGGGGTGCTCAGTGGGATAAGGGAGTGCCCTCGACTTCCTGCCCCATGGCTCTGGTTGGGCTGTCCTCCGGGGGGAGCACACTGGTGGCACATTGAGGGGGCCTGGATGAAGGCAGGGGGAACCCCTACAGGGATTGGGGGAAGCCTTCTCTCTTTCACAGCATCTTCAGGATTTGCTGCTGCTTCTTTAAATTGCTTTAAATTTTAATTTTGATATTCTGAGTTTCCTTTAAAAGGAGTCTTATGTAAAGCCTGGATGGGACAACTCTTACATGCCATGTATTTATTGTTTCTTTGGGTTTTTTTTAAAAAAAAAAAGCATGTGTGGTGAAGAAAAAAACCCAACTGTTTCTAGAAAAAGTTACCCCCCACAAATATTTTGCTGAAAACTAAGTTGAGAAATAAAATATTTCATGAAAATCAGTAAAGAGGTTTGGTTTGGGGGGTGAGGGGTGGGGGTTGGGGTGCTGAAAAACCTACTCAAACGCGTGACTCAAGGGAGTATGTCCCATAAAACTTCCTTTTGCTCCCCAACCCAAAATGTTCAAATGAAGAAAAATTGGAGCATCTTTGCTCTTTAGTTTAAAGGAAAAAACTTACCCCCTTGGCCAAGAGGGGAAGAGGCAGCCACGAGGAGGAGTGACAAGGGACCCAAGGGAGTCTCCATGAGTGAGGCCTGGACCAGGTGAGATGCAGAAATTGCTGACATGAAAATGTTCACCCTTAACCTTCCTAATCATTGCTGTTTCTCCTTGCTTTCTGCCCTGTGGCCCAGCCAAATCTCTCACCCAACCTAAGGCACAAATGGAGGATTAACAGCCCTCATCCATTTTTCCTTGACCATCTTGGCCACAGCATCTACCACAAGCAGAACAAGAGTGTGTATTCATGCTACAATCACATCTTAATTCTGCTACATATAGATACCCTCCATTTATCCATTTAGAGAAAGCTCCATTTATCCTTGTGTCATCCAAAGAAAGGTTTTAGAGCAGGAAGGTGAGGTTATTGAGAAGAAAATGTGGAATGTACTCCTAAGAAACAGATCACTAGAGCTGGGGTACCAAAGAGGCTTTGCAACCAAACAAGGGACCCTGAATTTAGTCTGAAGGGAAGCCATAACCCTTTGTGTGCAGAGGATGTGAGCACACGTCCTCCTGACCACACTCTGACTGCTGGTGTGGAAAGGCTTAAAGCTGTTGCTAGCCTTGGCCATTTTCAAGGGATCTAGGCAAAAATCCCAAAGCCTGTTTCTGCGTGACCATAGTGTGAACCTTTGCAGATGTGACAACTAACTTGGTCAGCAAGTAAAGGAAGCCATGAAACAATTAACCAAAGCACAAAGGGAAGATCATACATTAAATAATCCATACACTATATTATAGTTTTATCTTAAAATAATTGTAGGAGTGGTTGATGTAACCCGATGTATTAGATGTTATTTTGCTATAATAGATATATTTTTGTTAAAATGTTTAAACATTTGTAAAAACAAAAACAGCCTTGTCAGAGAAGACCATAAAGTAAGGTAAAAAAGAAACAGGAACAGCACTATACAATGGGGAAAGAAAGGAGATAAGAAACCCTCCCTCTTTCGCAAGGATATAAATCCCAACTGCTTGATACCAAGTCCACAAGAGATCTGGTTCAGTCCGGTTCCAAAAGTTGGATCCCAGATCCCTCAGCCTTTCCTCGTATGGCTTGTCGTGTCAGAGTCTGATCATACAGGGGGCTCTTCTCTGGACTGTCTCAAACTTGTCCACATCCTTGCTGAAGTGCGGTGCCCAGACCTGGATGTGGTTCTCCAGCTGTGGTCTCACCAGTGCCGAGTAGAGTGGAAGAATCACCTCCTTGGTTTTGCTGGAGGTGCATCAATTGATGCACGCCAGAATATTGTTTGCCCTGCTGGCGACAGCATCGCACTGCCGGCTCATATTCATCCTGTGGTCTATAATTACCCCCAGGTCCCTTTCATTCGTGGTACTGGTCCGTTTGGTGCTGCCAAGCCTGTAGGTGTGTTGGGGATTGCTCATCCCAGAGGTGGAGCACTTTACATTTCTCAATGTTGAACTTCACCAGATTCTGATCCGTCCAACTTACCAGCCTGTCTAGGTCTGCCTGTAGCTGTAGCTCATCTTCAAGTGTGACCACGCTCCCCCATAACTTGGTGTCATCTGCGAACTTGGTCAGTGAGCTCTTCACCCCCACATCCAAATCATTAATAAAGATGTTGAAAAGTACTGGACTGAGCACCAACCCCTGCGGGACACCGCTGACCACTTCTTGCCAGGATGACACAGATTTGTTCACTACAACTCTCTGGGTCCTATCCTGCAGCCAGTTTCTCACCCACCTGACTGTCTCAGAGTTAAGCCCACAATCCTCCAATTTTCTCGCGAGGACATCATGGGATACCAGACCAAAGGCCTTTCGGAAGCCTAGGTATACAATGTCAACCTGCTCTCTCGTGTCCAGGCGGCGAGTTACCTGGTCATAGAAGGAGATGAGGTTGGTAAGGCAAGACCTGCCTGCGGCGAAGCCATGCTGGCCGTCATTCAGAATCTTATCTTGTCATTCGTACCAAGTGAGATACTATACTGTACTTCCTATAGAGTATTTTGGTCATTCTTGAATCTCCCCAGCTGGTCTACATGAGAATCTATGCTGTGCTGTTGTGGGTAGCTGGATAAGCTTTGGGATAAATGTTTGTTCCCATGTTTAAAGTGCAAGCGAATAAAAAGTTTGGACCGTAGACCTGTTTCTGCCTCTTTTCTCAGTAGCCTACCCACAGGGTTACCTGTAATCTGGGTAACAAAGCTTACCATGAAAACCAGACTCAGATGACTGAAGATGGTCTTTCATGTTGGCAAAGCCAAAATTAGACGCACACAAAAGGAAAAAAAACAAAACAAAACAAATGACCACCCCCAAAATGTGCCTTACTGGAAATGCTCTAAGGGCTGTTCAACAAGTGTCACCCTACAGATCTAAACCATCCAGCAGACTGGAATCCGGTATATTCAAACCTATCTTAATGTCTTGAAAATGCTTCACCTTTGAAAAAAAACAGAAGAGGTGTTTACTTTTTAAAATTGATCTTCCTGTAATACTTCATTTAAATACATTTTACAAATGACATTTCTTGTGGCATTTAAGTCCTAAAGTATAACTGGAGAATATTTTCACTGGGACTAGCAAAGAGAAAACTGACAGGGGGCTGGTGCAGGGCCAGACAGGACAGGAGGAGACTGCTGTCAGGAGCAGCAAATCTGCCCCCAAATGGGTGCATGTTGAGGGTCTTCTGTCCTTCCTATAGAGTATTTTGGTCTAAGAAAGGTGTTTCATGTTTTTATTTTCTAAGAAACAACCACCATAGAAGCATACTTCTGAGTGGAGTAGGTGCCACAAAAGGGTATTTCCTTCAATTTACAACAGGAGTTTCTTTAACGTCTTTGCCATCCACTGGAAATAATGTTTTTCTCTAGTACTTGTTACTATTTGAGATGCACATTATCCAAAAGTAGTACAATCCATTCCCAAACATCAAACAATTTGTACAACTCTGTACACTTTTATATTTTCTTTTATTGCTAACATAGTGTAACTATTTATCCTTGAAAGGTCTTGAGATCTAAAAACTACATACATATTGCCAGCAAAAAAAAAGTCTCCATACTGGATGGCCTAGTCCCTCAGCATGAGAGCCTGAAGAAAATCCAAAAGGCCAGAAGTGAATAAATGCATCTCTTCAGCAATCCCTTGCAGTCAAGGATGACTGCCTTCCATGATTGTCCTATCTGTGGCTCTAAAGATGGCTGATGAGGTCAGTCTGGAGTTGACAGACTCTGTTGCAACTCGGGCACATTTCCATGCAGGGTGGATGGCTCTGGAGTCTTGATTCGGTCCGCAGCACACTTCCGGCTACTCCTGCTTTTCCATCTCTTGTTGTCATCTTGTTACAGCAGTCTCTTCCTACAGTTGGGGCGGTCCTGGGCAATAGTCCATATGAGTTGATGTTGATGTTGCATTTTTTCAAGTTTGCCTTGAGG